CATGTTTACAACCCACATAACATACAGGCAAAAGACCTATGTGATATACATGAACAAACACAAATAGGGACATTGATCATCAGTAGAAGTCTAAATATGTCCAAGTTCTTTGCATCTGATGTCTCTTCTCTTTGTCTTTGAGACTATTATTTAAATTGACTCCATTAGCAAAAGGGAAGTTAAAAGAAGATGCTTCAAATTGACAGTTCAAATGAATCTAAAATGTACTCTTCCATTTTGTCGTATTACCCAGTAGATGAGCAACTCTAGGGGACGTCCACTCTAAAACATCGTTGATTCCATTTCTTCTGTAAAGGTTGTCTTTGGTAAGAGAAAAATCTCCATAAATAAAATGCTCCACTGATCAATAGTTTAAAAAAAAAGAGTGTAGAAGAAAAAACAAGGTGTTGAAAGACTGCACTCCATCTATAAAAAAAATACCTCATAGATTTAACTTACAGTTAAAGATTGCAAGGGAATCTTTCTTTTCTTCTTTTCTGAGATCAACATGCATCGATAATGTTCAAGCTCTGTTTTCCAGAGTTGACAGTTTAACAAACCCTCCTGCATCTACAGCCTCTGAACTAAACTCTACAGGATCTGCAGTGAATTTGTGAACGTTATAGGGAAAATTCAGAAAAATAGAAAGGTAGTCTGTACATCAATTTCAAGTCCAGACCAACAGCCTTGATGTCCCCAATAAAAACAAAATTGGAAAAAAAAGACAGAACTTTATTTTATATATTTTAACCACAGCTTTTTTAAGGTTTGTATAAGGTCTGTTTTGATTCGAAAGATACACTCAGTCCTTATGTTTGGTTATTAGTATATTGACCCTGAGTGCACAGCATTGGTCAGCAGCATCTGTTAATCCCATCTTTCCAAAATGCACTTCTACTAATACAAATACCTGATGTAAATCTGCTTCGTCAATAGAACTTTAAGCTGCTGCTGATGTTGTAGTATTTGGCAAGTGTCATGAATTAATAAATATTTACCTCTGCCAAATAGGTTATATTTTTAGGAGAGCTTGTGTGTGTGTGTTTGTCTACCTGTCTGTGTACAAGATAACTTCAAAAGTAAAAATTTTTTATGACATTTTCATCAGTGGTGTCCCTCATGCCAAGGAACAATTAATTTGGTAACAATCCAGATTATGTGGGAGTTTTTGCTCTAGGTGTAAGTCAAAATTTGGGCCAATTTGCTGCTTGGTTTAGGTCTGCGCTCTCAAAATGCTTTTCTAGTAGTAATTTAAAGCAGATCTTTTTGATCTCATCATTCGTTTCCTCACCAACAGCTGCATTTCATGCAGTTACATGCAGGTGTTTTCTCCCAGGCCTTAAAAACAGCAATCATCGACTTCCAATTGAAAAAGGATCATCCTGACAAGTTGTGATTAAATATTAGAAGGAGGTGGGGGGATGTGGCAGCCTGGGACCAGACATTACTGGAGATGGTGCGGATCCAGGATTGGCTCTGGTCCCCTATGGCCACCTCTTGGTGGGGATGCTTCTACCTGGTGAGGGAGCTTTGAGCTCCTCACTTCCCCACGGGAGGCCTCGAAGGGGTTGGAGATGGGGGTCGGGATTGGCCTGTCAGGCAACCTGCTCAGACCCTTAGCTGAGATTGGTTATTCCAGTCCCTTTGTATGAGGAATGTCTGCAACGTTCGTTCTGTTGTTGCATGCAACACCTGCATGGGGGTTGGAGGGCTGTGCTCTATCACCTCTGTGCCCCGTCTCTGGCCCCTCTTTTTCCAGGGACCAGGGCCGTGCAGAGACCACTAAAGGGGAAGGTGCTCAAAAAAAAAAAAGGGCACATCTTATCGCATTTTAGGACAGAATATTAACAAAGTCACATAGCTTTCAGAGTTTAATGAACAATGATAAATTACAAAATTGTGAGACATACAATCAAAGCTAAGGGAAATCTCTACATAGAACATAGAACTATGCATGTAAAATATTTTATTAGTAATTTCTTTCTGCAGGTCTATTTTGTTATAGGAAAGTATTTCAATATTCAAACCTGCAATTTAGCCAAAGATGTAAATCAGAGCTGGACCACCAGACATATTTTGACTTTACAGAATTAAACTGTTAAAAATGCATACAAGGGCACAATGCAACCTTTTAGTGTACTGTAATCTATAAAAAAGAATGTCTGCCTGGTTTGCTGTACTGACAGTGGAGATGGAGACGGTCCATTCAGAAAAGCAGAGCTGCTGCATCAAACTTTAACTAGAACTGCAGAAAAAAAAGAACAAATCAAACATTTTATTAATGCATGTCACCATGAGAAAAGCCTACTCTGTTTGTGTCTTAGTGTATTTTGTAAGTACCTATATACATTTTCTTCAATCTTTCCTCTTCGTTTTTTCTTGTCAGTTTCTCTTTTCTTTTTTTCCTCATTGTCTCATCTTTTCTGTGTTGAGTGAAGGTCAATGTCTTATTTATTTCAGTCTCTTGCCTTTCTTTTCCCCCCCAAACTAAATCCAAGATTATGATCCAAAAACTTATTTTCCGTCATGGTGATTTAACTGTTTAAAAACAAATTTCTAACTTTTAAGCATTTTTGCTATTTTTGTTCTCTTTTGTTCACAGCAGCAGTTTTCCGTTAGCCATGTCTTTAAAAATGTTAATAACCTCACTGTGAATGATTGGCACATCCTTCTCGATTGCCAACAAAAGAAGGTCTGACAACCGATCCTCCTTGCATAAGCTGCGCAGTTTTGTTTTCACCAGCTTCATACATTATATCTATCATATATCTATCATTCTGGATGAGTTCTCCTTTAAGATACATTTACCTAACGCTAGAATAAATGCAATGTACATCATGCAGCAAAGGAAATGAGAAAATCAGACATATATCCATTATGGAGATGATAGGATTTTGACGGGCGATGTGCCCCTATTGCATAAGTAATACTGAAGAATGTCCTACTATCATTAATGACACAGGGAAGCTTTTTAGTTATCTTGCTTTGCTAGCAAAGTCATTAGCTAGCAGCTAGCTCATAGCACAAGAACAACAGCCTAATGTCTGTATGATAAAAATACTGAATCGATAGATAAGAACAGCTTTTCCTCACCTGGCTGTCTCCTCCCGCTCAGTAGTTCTTCAGAGAAAGAATTACTTTCCTCCGTTTAAACCGCTACTCTTTGCTAAAGTAGAGAAATCATACAACGTTCAAAGTTTTCCGTTGTCTGACAAGTAGCAAGCCTACTCCAGTATTTTCACCAAAAAATATGTTTTTTAATTCACAAAAAAACTGTTCTGTAATCATTACAGAACAGTTTTTTTGTGAATTAAAAATCATAATTTTCAATGTAAAAGACTAAAAGCACAGAGTAAACAGTGTTTTAGATCAAACAATACTGCATCATCCATGGGGCTTATTTGGTTTCACTTACATCTCTATTCAGGTTGACATTGGAGAGGCGGTGCAGACTGAAGACATAGCCATCCGTCTGATCATGGTTGATCTTGCTTAGGGCCAAATGAGCAGCGGCCACAGTGTAATGTGGAATGTTCGCTACCTTTAGCTCCGCAGTTAGCCGCCTTATCTGACTGTGCGAGAGGCAAGTGCGTCGTCACGGGCAAAAGGTCAAAGGTAACAACGTGACCGGAGGGCTTATTGTATTGTTTTTCTAGCCAAAAAAAAGATAATAATAGTAATTTCAGTACATGTGTCAAATAAAAAAAAAATAAATAAAAAAAAAAAAAAAAGGGACCAAAAGGGCACATTGGGATCATGGAGCAAAAGGGGCAGGTGCTCAAGCCCCCTTAGCCCCCCCCTCTGCACGTGCCTGCCAGGGACTGACTATCTTGGGTGGAGGGCAGGGCATTGGAGCTGGGGTTGGGTTTTGATGATGGAATGGGGGCGGGTGTGGGCTTGTGGTCTACTCCTGGTACTTGGTGCCGTGCTCCCCTGGCAGAGGATGTGTGCTGAAACCCCTGGACTCTCATCTGGATCCACCTTGGTAGTGACCAGCTGACAATGGCTTGCCCCAATGGGACCTCAGACCTTTGGGACTGGGTCCCTTTGGGGTGCTCTCATCTGCCCTTCTCTGATGGGTTTCACCTAATTTCTGTCCCTCTTGTCTCATATAGGTGTGTTGCCTTTGCCATTTCCTTTTTGTTTTTCTCTTTCCATGTGCTTATCCCCTCTGTCTTTCTCACCTCCCTTTCTGTCTCTGTCAGTACGATTTTAATCCTTAAATCATTTTCATGAAAGTTTCATATATGAGCACCAAGCAGCACTGAGCACCTTATGACAAAAACCATAATGGTCTGTTTGGGGAAGCAAATCTGTTAGACTATCATGTAGCTCTGGGACATCGATTCCCAGAGCTCCATTAGCAAAACAGGCCAAAACCTAAAAAAAAAAAAAAAAAAAAAAAAAAAATGAAATGGCAATCTAAAGAATAAATAGGAACTATTCAATTCTGATGTTTCATAGATCTGAAAAGCATTTTTAAAAAACTCTAAATATGTCAAGACCAGGGTTGTTTTGTGTTAAGGTTAAAACATGTTAGACAAAAAAAAAAAAAAAAAACAGCCTTGCTGGGAAATTCAACATACCTAATATTAAGGTAGGATGAATGATTTCTGTGTTTGACATGCTAAATCACTGGTGTTTGTGTAATTGCTTTCACTACCTGTAAAGCAATTATTTTACACAGCTGTTTTGATTGAATCCTGCACACTTGCCAAATCAGGATTTTTAACAATTATATGATATATATGAATTAATATGGGTAAAAAATGGGAGCACAAAAAGATACAGTTTACAACTCCTTTAAAATGAGATGAGAATTCTGCTTTATTCATTAATATGCACTGCAAAACATTTTGGCCAGTCAATCTGAAGCAGCAGGATAGGTTTTGCTATATAACAGATCTGTTATTTATTCCTTCTGTGTTTGAACGCCCTGAGAGGCTGTGGTGTTTCCATCCCGCTATTTCGTGATATCTGTATTCTCCTCTTCCCTGCAGGCGTGGCAGGTGTTGGGGACCACACAGGCTGAAAATGAAAATGAGCAGGCTGCAATCGTCTCCCTGCAAAGGTAATGAGAAACATCTGAGTTCAGTTCAGATTTCAAAGAGCCTAATTTTATATTCTACAAGAAGTTTATATTTACTTTCTGACAGCAAGTTACACAAGCAACCTAAGTAACAAACAAAATAAATCCATTCACACATACATAGAGAAAAGGGATTCATGTCCCTTCAACGTTGTCATATTTTAAACACAAGCTCATAGTGTTTTGTTGATACTTTAAGTAGTCGACATACGCAACGGAAAAAAAAAATATGGTTTTATATTTTGCAAATAAGGAAACTGCTTGCATTCACAATTTTATCACTGAATCACCTATTACTGGAGTTATAAAAAGTCTTTTCAGCAATATTACTATTGAACTTGCACATCTAGAAACAAAAAATATGCAAATTTAATCATTGAAAATTACGTCATGGTTAGCTGGATTGAAAGAAGCATATCTGTGAGAAGCGATCAATTTTTTAAGTTTTGCCAAAGATGATCAAATTAATTTGGTTTACAGTTTAACTGGGCCATTAAAAGGAAAAGAACAAATCAGGTGATTCAAGATTCAAGATTCAAGAGACTTTATTGTCATTCACATCACGTGTTACATGAGGTAAACGAAATTGAGAGTCACGGCCTCAGTTACATCCGAATATAAAAAATAAATTATAAAAACTAGCTACAATATCAAATTTTATAAAAAACATTTACAGATATATAAAAACAAGAAGTAGAGAATAAAATGTATATTAAAGATAAATTTAGCAGTGCAACATTTTAAAGTGACTGAGTGTAGACTGCAAATACAAGTTATTGTTAGGGACAGTTTGAGAGTCTCACAGCTTCTGGTATGAAGCTGTTTCTCAGTCTGGTTGTCCTGCATTTGATGCTCCGCAGCCTCCTGCCTGAGGGTAGCGGAACAAAAAGTGAGTGTGCTGGGTGAGTGGGGTCCCTCATGATGCAGGAGGCCCTTTTCCTGCATCTGGAGGTGTAGATGTCTGTGGTGGTGGGGAGGTTGACTCCAACAGTCCTCTGTGCAGCCTTCACTACTCTCTGCAGAGCTTTCCTGTCTGCAGCAGAGCAGCTACCGTACCACACGTTGATGCTGGAGCACAGCACACTCTCCACCACACATCTGTAGAAAGAGATGAGGACTGAGCTCCCCAGTCCTGCACGCTTCAGCCGCCTGAGGAAGTAGAGCCGCTGATTCGCCTTCTTGACCAGAGCGGAAGTGTTGTTGCTCCAGGTGAGGTTGTTGCTCAGGTGCACACCCAAGTACCTGTAGCTGGAGACAACTTCCACCGCAGATCCTCCGACAAGCAGGGGGAGATGGGCGTGTCTGCTCTGTCTGAAGTCCACAATCATCTCCTTCGTTTTCTTGACGTTGATGCAGAGGTTGTTTTCTCTGCACCAGCCCTCCAGGTGTTTCACCTCCTGTCTGTAGCTGGACTCATCACCGTTTGTGATGTTTCCAACCACTGCTGTATCATCTGCAAACTTCACAATATGACAGCCAGGATGGAGAGGAGAGCAGTCATATGTGAGCAGCGTGAACAGGAGGGGACTCAGCACACAGCCCTGTGGAGAGCCAGTGCTGAGGACTGTGGTGGAGGAGGAGATGTTATGGATCTTCACAGACTGCAGCCTGTTGGTCAGGAAGTCCAGGACCCAGTTGCAAAGTGAAATGCTCAGTCCAAGTGAGGAGAGTTTAGTTATTAGGGTCTGCGGGATTATTGTATTGAAAGCAGATGTGAAGTCCACAAACAGCAGACGGACGTAGGAGTCCTTCCGCTCCAGGTGGGTGAGATCAGTGTGGACCACAGAAGATGCCATTTCTTCTGCGGTTCTTCCTGTAGGCATACTGGTGAGGGTCCACAGTGACGTCGATGGAGGCTTTGATGTGGGTCATTACCAGTCTTTCAAAGCACTTTGTGACTATCGGCGTGAGGGCTATTGGCCGATAGTCATTCAGACCCATTACTGTGGAGCTCTTTGGAACCGGGATGATAGTGGCAGTCTTCAGGCAGGCGGGAACAGCCGCTTGAAAAAGGGTGACATTATAAATGTCTGCTAGGACCTCGCAGAGCTGATCAGCACAGTCCCTCAGAACCGGATGTTGTCCGGGCCAGCAGCTTTTCGCGGGTTGATCCTTTTCAGGGTCCTCCTCACTTCTGCTGGCGTCACACTGAGTGGCACCTCTCCAGGTGGGGGGGCGAGTCTGGTACTGGGTGGAGTGTCATGGTCCTCAAAGCGGGCGTAGAACTCGTTGAGGGCTTCAGGCAGAGAGGGGTCTTTAGCGCATTGTGTGTCACTGGTTTTGTAGTCAGTGATGCACTTAATGCCCTTCCACATGCTCCGTGGATCCTGGGAGTTGAAGTGTCCCTGGATTTTCTGAGCATATGAAGCTTTTGCCCTCTTTACTCCTGCAGTCAGCTCTCTTCTAGCCCTCCTGAGCTCCTGTGGGTCGCCAGACCTGAAGGCAGCATCCCTGGCTTTCAGCAGAGACCGCACCTCTGCATTCAGCCAGGGTTTCTGATTCGGGTAGCAGGTCATGGTCTTGGTGGTGGTGACGTCCTCCACACACTTGCTGATATACCCGAGGACAGAAGATGTATAGTCCTCCAGATCCAGCTCGCCCTCAGTCTCAGCAGCCTCCCTGAAGATCTGCCAGTCTGTGCAGCCAAAGCAGTCCTGCAGCACCGAGTCTCCGTCGCTGGGCCACACAGTGATGGTCTTCTGTGTGGGTTTGGGGCGGTGCAGTGGTGGGTGGTATGCAGGGACCATCAGGATGGAGATGTGATCGGAGAGTCCGAGGTGGGGGTGGAGGAAGGCCCTGTACGCGTCTCTCATGTTGGTGTAAACATGGTCAAGCGTATTGTTACCACGTGTTGGAATGTTCACATGTTGGTAAAATCTCGGCAAAGTGTCCGTCAGTTTTACGTGGTTAAAGTCACCCGCCACCACGTAAAACCCCGCCGGGTGCTTGTTCTGGAGCGAGCTGATGTGTTCATAAAGCTCCTCCAGCGCGTTGTTAGCGTTAGCATCCGGTGCTATGTAAACAGCAGTGACGAACACAGCCGTGTACTCCCGCGGCAGATAGTGTGAATCGCTGACTTTATAAGTTGTTTTAGCTTTCATTGATGTTTCTATCATGTTTTCCCTGCATTTCGTTTCATCTAATGTCCTATCCATTCTGACTACTTCCCCAACTACTCTGAATTAAAGCATTCCTGTAGCATGATGCCACCACCTAACCTTGCGCTGCCAGTTGGATTATCACAAGATCAAAATTTTTATTCCCACAACAAATCCATCTTGAAAAACACCCGCTAATATGCCCATCTCAGTCAGGGTCAGAACAATGACATGCCAGCAGTGTTTTTTGGCTGGGACATGTAAGAATGACGACAGTCGGAATGGCCTTGCCTTTGCATTACAAACATGGCAACGCTGGAGGACTCACCTGTCAATACTGCAAGTGACTCGATTTTAGCTTAAATAGCGACAATTTCTCATTTAAAAAAGGTGAAAAGAGAAGCACTTTGTGCATTTGTAGATGGGAAAGATGTCTGTGGCTGTGTCCAACTGTCCGTTTTAATCCCTATATAGGGCACTATATGGTGGTTACGCTATTTTAGATGAGTGTGCGAACGTCTAGTGGAGGAAAAAGTAGTGGACTCAAAGTTTCCCAAAATGCATCTTGAAAAGTACTGATCATCCATGGTCACTAGACAAGCAAATATATACTCCGGAATGCTTTGCGCGGAGTGCTCTCCTCACAAAGCATTATGGGATTTATTGTCACAGTGGCCCGCTGTCGCCATCTGCTATCGCTACCTGAAAGCATCAACTAATAAAGATGGCGCAGGCACAGCACAGTGGAGGTGGAGTTATGTGACCAACAGGGAGCAAAAAGCAGTGATCATCTGTCTGAACAGTCAGTTAACTGAGTTCACTATAAAGTCCACTATATAGTCCCCGTTCTATATTGTGATTCAGGGATTTAGGGGTTAGGGTGGACTTTCAGACATAGCCTGTGTTTGTATGTCCGTTGGTGGACAACTAACTTGCGGAAGCTATTAAGTCTGAAACGTCACGATTCACTGCTACGATTGGCTGAAAGCGTATTATGGAAGGCGGGTACTCGCTGACACCTCTTCCAATCAACTTAAAGTATTGTACTGAACGTCCCTCCTGTTCATGGACAGACTGTACAACAGCTATCCCAGATTGATAACATAGAACTCAACTCAGTTCTACACATCAATCTGGCTACTGCCAGGTTAGCCACCACCACCACCATATTTTTAGGGTTTTTTTGTGTTCAGGGGAAAGCGTTGTTCTATGTTTACAGATAGAATTTTACACATAGGTCCTAAATGTCAGAGCTGTAGAGTTAGTAGTACTTAACTCTTTAAATTTTGGATATGAAATTGCTGAGTTTCCTGGACTCTGGATACCCTCTTCCTTGCTGGTTGTGTTCTATGGACTTCATTATACTGTACAATTTACCAGTGTCCTCTAACAAACTTCTTGGGAATTTACAGCACAGTTTTGTTTATACTGAGATTGAACTACAACTGCATGCACTCTATTTACCAATTGGCAGACTCCTGAGCAGAATTAGTTATATTTTGTTTAGGGGTATCAAAGTAAAGCAGTGAGTAGAACTGCATATTATTTGAATAAAATTAATAAATTAGTTGCATAAGTTTCAACATTATTTACAATTATATTCCATGTTGCATTGCTTTGTTAAATAAAGTACCAATTGATACCCTGAAAGATGTGGTTGTGACTTGATAAACAGTAAGAATGAAACAGCTATGAATACTTGAGCAAGTTGCTGCACATGGGGGAGTAGCCCCAGGCCTCTGCTAGTTGGTTACTAAATTGCCATCAACCAGCTATTGGAAAAAAAATTGATGTAATTTTTTCCTTTTTCTTAAAATAGAGGAACCCTGCATGGATGGTGATTGCAAGAGTCAGGGCTCTGACTGGAGACCTCAATGGGAGGTGGCCCAGTTTCATTCATTACAGTAGAGGAAATTACACCTTTCCCAGAGTGTGAACACTGATAAGTCAAGTGGAAATGCTTTCTAAGATAAATAATCGTTGTGTTTCATAAAAAAAATTTTCTTTAACAGGCTTTAAAATAATTTCTGATTCTTATCAGATTGACTGATAAGAAACAGATCTATGATTGATTTTTCTTTCTTACCTAGTATGATTATCTTTTAAATCTCAGGCTGTTTGTTGGCTTATTACTACATTATGTAATCACTCCATCTGTGAGGAGTAGTTTGGTCTGAAGGGAGATTAGATTTTTTGCTGGCATTAATCCTGTCTCTGCTACACTGTTTTTGTATCAACTGGCAACCATCATGTTCCCCGTTTGAAACTACTTACAAAAAACATAGTGTCTGTAATAGCTTTTCTTTTTCTTTTACTTTTAGAAAGTAAAGTGTCTCTTCACAACTCTACACAACACAAGCAGAGTCAGCAAAACAAAACATGAACATGAGATAAAGTTTGTCCCAGACAAACTTTAGGAAGTTTAAATACATACAGATAAACTAGGTAGTTTTTTTTCTAAGATACATTCCTGTAAGTGTTCTCTGAATTTTGAACATTGTACACAAGCATTTCTGCAAGCTTAACCAAGAACACTTCCCAGCAGGAGGCTGAAATAATTTAGTTGGTCTGGGATTTTGATGGTTTTAAGGAAGTTGGCTGATTATCTGCAGCAGATCAAACTTGAACGTTGATTAATCCCAAATCTTATTTTGGCCTGTAACCTCTTAACTAATCCAAATCCTTCACCCAACTCTGTTGTGTCCTGCTTTCACTACAGTAATCACAGCATATCTACTATAACATCACTAAATATAAGTTTGCATAAATGCAAAGTTAAGTCAAATCCAGCAGGTGTGGGCAGCATGAAAACCTGCTCCTCTGTTGAGGATGCAGGGTGAAAGAGGTGCAGTTCATCTATTCCTGATGTTCCTCTGCTTCAGCTGGTCCCAATTAATGTTTGTCATATCTACATTTCTCTTTGAAAACACACATTTAAACATCTCTTCTTGCACGTTTGTATCTGTCTCTGTCCAGGTGTTTGGAGCTCCACCCAAATAACATATCAGCCCTCCTGGCTCTGGCAGTAAGCCTGACCAACACTGGTATGCGTCATGACGCCTGTGAGGCCCTGCTCCGCTGGTTGAAACACAATCCCAAGTACAAGCACCTGCTTAAGTCCAAGACTCATATGATGGGCTCCCCGAACTCTCAGCGCAGGATGTCGTATGTTCTAAATGCAGGCAGACATGACAGGTAAAACATTTAAGCTAATTTCCGGTATTCTAGAGCTGAAAGAAACTTTCAGGAATCATAATCACTATGCTCTCTCTGGAGCATAATTAGATTAAAAAATATATATTTTTCGTTATTTGACTGAGGAACCACTGACGAGAGAATAACTGAACATCTAATGGGATCAATAATATAATGTGATCCCAATTCATTTTCTAAGTTACTGACAGTTACTGACATTGTCAGAATGCTTTATTTTTTAAGTAAGAGCAATCAGTGCTGCAGATCTATATGCTAGAAGGCCTGATTGATGATATAATTTCCATGTTTGGTTTTTTTTCACATTCAGAGCTTTAATTAGCTGGGGTTTATATAAGCTTTCTGGTTCTGATAGAAATTACTGATTTTAAATGAAATAATTTGATTTAATAATTTTAAAGAACATACAGTATTTATTTCTCTGATGTATTAAGGAGTAAAACTACACAGAATATGTTTCCATGGAAAGTGTATACAAATTTCTTATATTAATATTTTTCAGCCAAGTAGTCTGCAAAGATGAAGATTCTAGAAATAAGTGATTTGTTTGGACTTGTGCATCAGAACTAAAAGCCTGCAACAAGGACCAAGACTGAGTTTAGATGAAGCAAATGTTGTTCAGTGTTCTGCCATAAATGTATTGGATAGAGTTTGTTTGTTTGTTATCCCGTCAAATCACTGAATACAGTTAATCCAATGATGTCATTGGCCACATGCATGCAAAATCCAGCCCTTAGCATTGTGACTGTTTCTACAGACATTTGTTAAAATACTAACAACCTCAGAAGCTCAATAAATCCAATAATCACATTGCTGTGATAGGAATACCACCTAATTTCAGTTGGAAATATTTTTTCTCAAATATTTTACAGACAATTGCTTCTGGTGTTATTGCAAAGTGAGGGCAATTGGTTATGATGGTGACTCAGTTGTAAAGTGGATGGTATGTAAAAACACAGAGGAAGTTTGAGCATATTATGCAGAGGTTGTGAACTTTTGAAACTCAGTAGCTGCTGACTTTCAAACCTTATGTGTTCTTAAGATTAGATAAAATACAATGTGAAAATAATGTAATGGAAGAGGCTTGCATGGTCAAGAAGCTGCAACAGTTTCTGTCTTTACCAAGTGCAAAAGAAAAATTGGATACTGTTGTGTATTCCTTAATGTCTAGTGATGAGTCTGTCTGGGTTTGTCAGTTTCCAGAGGAATACAGCTTGTCTAATGCGTGAGATGTTTTGTGGAGTGGATTATGTCATGGATCTGTTTTTTTAGTGGTTGGGTTTAGTACCTCCTTAGTTTCAGTAAAAAGGAACTCTCCATACATTTGAATACCAATTTATTTTCTCAGTGTGTCTCCCCCAGCCTTGGGAGAAACGTTTTTGGAAGGCCTGCTTCTTTTTTAACCTGACTTTGTACCAGTGCAGAAAAGCCAAATCTATAAAACTCAATGAATGAGTTTGGGGCTGAAGAACACTCATTCATTCATTTAGAAATTGTGTATTTCATGTATCCCCTTACCTGACCTTATTTTTATGTATTTTTCCTTTTGTATTTTTCTGAAATTGTTGTATATCAAGTGATGCATCAAAGACCAAAGGTCAAAGGCAGTATTAATAATATCAGCTTTTTTCTGTTACTATTAGTCGAAACCTACTCATTTTTAATATATGAAAGCACCAAAGTTATAGAATTTTTTTTTATTTAGTGTCTCCTTTAACATTATATTATTGGAAACCTACTGTATTTTAAAAGAAGTAATACCCAAAGATGGCATACCCTCAATTTACTAGTAAAATTCCAATCATAAACCTGGGAGCAGTGGCGGTTCTAGATGAAATTTACAAGGGGGCCAAGGTGGGGCCAGTGTTTTTTTCATAAAGGAACAGGACAAAAGAATAACAAACACGGACAAACAAGCAAACAATAGGGCAAGTACACATCATTTACTTTATTAAGTGAGCCACAAAGCCAAGGTTGCAGATTGTGGATAAAACAGATGAAAACTGTGATCCTGTCTTGGCACTATTAAAGCTTAAAGCAAACTGCAATTTTGAAATAATGGCTAACGGCTAAATATTTAAATTGGTCCAAGGAACATTTCAGTTATGGTCTCTTCTATCAACACATGTCATGATAATAAATACATTTAGTGTTATACTACAGAAAAAGGTCTAAAAAAAAAAAGTAATATGATCAGCCAAAATTGCATTTTTTTTATGATATGCACATACAATAAAATAATGGAGGTCGTTCTTTTTTATGTAAATTATATTTATAGGTAAATTCTTCAACTTACCTGCTCAAAATAAGGGGAAAAAACATTTATCTTTAGAAAAAGAATACTTAATTTTATAAAAATTTTTGTAGTGTATGTTTCCTGGACAGGGACCATAACAGGGACTGTTAATGCCAAGGAGTGTCCACCTTGTAACTGTCATGATTTTGAAGCTCGGACCCGCATGCAGTGAAGCCAAACAGATAGACACAGAGCAAAAGTTTGAACGGGTTTTATTGAAAGATATTTAGAGTTCGGTGCAGAGTTTCTCCGAACTCTGCTCGGCCGGAAAAACTGAAAGACGGGGAAGACAGACTGTTAGATTCAGGCCCAGTGGGGAATAGGAGTTGTTAATATTGAAGGAGAGGATTTGTTGCCACTCATGTTTCCAGAGAAGAGGAGAAATGTAGACTCCAGTCTGTGTGTTGGTCGTCCAGGGTTTGTTTGATTCGTTGGAGGGCGGAACAGGGTTTACCCAGAACTTGGATGGAGGGGAATGATGCAGCCGCTGGTTGCAACTCAGTTTTCCAGTGGTACTTGAACGGGTCGTGGTGAAGATGACTTCCTTACTCAGAGAGAGATCTCAGCGTGCTCAAAGGTGGCTGGATCCAAACCTCCTGTTTTGAATCCGTCCCTCATTGTAAGACTCAGTAGATCCCACTTGGGAGGAGGCGGTCCGAAAAGGTCCAGTTTGCAGGAGGGCTTCCCCAAACTGGCAAACACCTTGGCGTCGAAGTAGTGGCAACCAGCAGCTTAAGAGTAGTCCGGTGATGAGGCAACAGCTTGCAGGTGTGTGAGGAGGCGAACAGGAGCCAGGCGCCTCCTGGTGGTGGAAGGGAAAAACACAAAAGACAAGACAAACAGACGAACACAAAAACTGGGATCCTGACAGTAACAAAGATCTCACTTTTAAGTAGGATGGGCTGTGGGCCAATGGATGAGGTTGTTAAGTATATCAGATTTTAAAGGCCCAACCTTTCTCTCAGTGTAAAGCAATATTTGATCAAATCATTAATCGTCTAGCGTGTGCAGAGAGATACAGCTAGAACCAATTACTGTGTCATTCCCGTAGGACAACACACTTGGTCTTTTCATTATGGCTATACATACCATTCTTCTTACCTTAACCGCACTGTGCTCTCAGAGTCATTCTTCTTTCCAAGATATCTCTACTTTAACTTTTATCCTTTCCTGATGGTCCTCTCAAGGAAAACTTAAACTAAGATGTGACATTTTTATCTCCATCTAGAACAGAGATCAAAAAGTAAAAAAAAAGATACAAATAACCACTGAATATGATGTGTTTATGCACATCAGATGTACCTGATTTCTTTGTAAACATAGTAGAATATTGATACTTAACATTTTTAACTAACTGTCTTTGACTTCACCACCTTTATTGTATCCAGTCTACCCGTTTCTTCTAGTCTATGAATGGATATTTACATGGTAGCACATTGTACAGCACAGCTCTACAGACTTCAGAGCGCTCATTCAGCAGTAGCCTTCAGTCCCACTAATCCTGATCTGCGTGTGTCTCTGTTCGTGTTCTCAGCTCACTGCTGCCAGAGGTCAAGGAGTTCTTCCTGGAAGCAGCACAGCAAAACTCGGACAGCATTGACCCGGATTTACAGACAGGCCTTGGGGTGCTCTACAACCTCAGCGGCGAGTTTAACAAAGCTGTAGAGGCTTTCAATACAGCCCTGTCAGTGCGGCCTGAAGTAAGAAACCCAAAATGTTCTCTCTCGCTCTCTCTCTGTCCCTCTCTCTTGACTCTAAGAAATTTGCAGACTAATCAAAGCTGAACTCTAAAGATGTCCTTTTCTACTTTGGGTATCATTAGACGGAGGTTGCATTCTCAAATCATGAATCAAAACTCAAAGTTATAGTGGATGCCCATGAAATGTCCAAGTCCCTTTTTAAACAATTGCAAATGCACAAGGCCTAAAAATGTCTCCTAACTACACTGTGGTCTTTTATCTTTCTTTTGAGCCCTTCATCTTTTCTCATAAATTGGAAGACAGTTTTGTTCTTGCAAAATTTTAGCCATTTTTTAGAGTATACTTTGGGAGCAGTGCAGAAACAATTAACGGCTAAACCCGAAGTTCACTGGATACTTCAACATCGGAGTTGCTCATGCACAGCAACAGGAAACGAGCATGAGACGGGAAGACTGGGAAGTAGGACAACCAATAGATAAAATGATCCCCTTGGAACTCGAAACTGAACTAAGATTGTCCTCTCCCTTTAAATTACATTTTCATTGTTTCATTTTGTTTCATAGGATCACATTCACCTTTAAAGGTTACCCAGCTTTTTATGTCCTCCGCCAAAGCGGTTATGCTTTCGGCCGTGTGTTTTGGTTTGCTAGTTGGCAGGATTATTTGAGTCACTCAAGTTATGAATGTAGGGCTAGGTAAGATGGTTCCGGATTCGATTCCCGGCCCAGGGGTCTTTCTGCATGGAGTTTGCATGTTTTCCCTGTGCATGTGTGGGTTCTCCCCGGTTACTCTGCTTCCACATTTGGATAACAGTCAAAAAAACATGACTGTTAGGTTAATTGGCTTCTCTAAATTCTCCTTAGGTGTGAGTGTGTGTGTGAATGGTTGTTTGTCCTGTTTGTCTATGTGTTGCCCTGTGATGGAGTGGTGACCTGCCCAGGGTGTACCCTGCCTCTCGCCTAAAGACAGCTGGAGATAGGCACCAGCACCCCTCTCGACCCCAGCAGGGATAAAGCGTGACGGATAATTAATGGAGGGATGGATGGAAGTTATGAATGTATTCTAATCAAATTTAATGAATTTGCTGCTCTGTAAAAACAGAAATAAGTAAAAATTTCGTAAATTAAGTGTATTTACCCTTAGTATGTTTCCTCCTAAAATAAGATATTTAGATAACATGGTCTTGAAATTGTCTTATTCCATTGGCAAAGTGTCTAAGTAACCTCCTCAATTCAAGAAAAATGCACTTATTGTAAGGAAAAATTACTTAGTGGTGAGGTCTGCTCTCTTTGAGTTCTTCTAGGAAAAGCAGCCAATTGAATTATTTTGCTGATTCTGGGGTTAACCAAGTCATGATTTTATACAGCTTATAGTAATTTAAAAAATACATTTACGTGCAGTTTCTGACTTTCTAAAGAAGTCAGAACTCTTTAGTGTAAGGTTATGAGCAGCTCAAATGTATGCCGGCATCTGAATGAGGAAGTGCATTTGAATAAGCCTGGGGTACATACTGTGGTGTTTGCAGAAATAAGTCGCTTGTACTCGCTGGGTGGTTCTGATATCTTTCTTGAGCAGTTTGTCCAAAATAGTTCTAACGTTTGTCTCTCTGTGCACAGCTAAATCTTGCTGGCAAAAGTGAGATAAAAATGCCTGCAGCTTTATAGAAAGATTCCAGATGGAGCAACCCAATAAGTGCATAAATTGAGATTCAAACATTGGCAAAGCTGTAAAAGAAGTCATCTAACATGCATTGGATTAAATCTACATAAACAACTTCTTTACAGCTGAAATGCAGTTTTGAAAAAATACAAAACAAATAAAGGGCTGCAAAACTTTATATAAACTGATAGTCCTGTTTTGTCTTCTTAGCACAGAATGTTTTAGTTGATGCACCACAGATGAGTAAATTAGTGCACATTCAGTAAACATGTATTTTTGTCTCAGTTCTGCAGCTGAAAGTAATTAGGCTCAGAGCCAGAGGTGTCTCTGAATCATCTTGGCATTAGATGCTGACTGTAAGCTTCTGTTGGTGAACACACGGGATGCCTTGGTTTTCTTTGAGAGCACACATCTCATTTGCGTTTCATCCTTTCTTAGGGCTAAATTGGAAAGATGTATCATTAAAAATTGTTGATTTTTTTTTTTTTTTGTGTTCCAACCATGAAGCTCAGTGGCTTTTATTTGGATTTTACACAATAAACCAACAAAAAGTATTGCATAATTATGAAACCTTGGAATAAATCTAGTCCAAACCAATTGCCTTCGAATGTCCACTTGTTTGATTGAAGGCCTTAAAAGTTAGTTAAAGCACATTGTTGAGCACAAACCTTATGAAATATCAAAAAATATACCAGAGAGAAGTTATGTTTTAAAATGGTATCATACGTTTTGAACATTTAACAGAGCTTTTATTATCACTCACCCAAAAAACAGAAATAGAATATCACAACTGCAAACCTACTAAAGCATGGTGGGAAAGGAGAGCACTTATCAGAGAAGCATTCTCTGATAAGGCAGCTTGTGTCTGCAAAGCACTTAAAACTGATTGAGTTACTATTGAGTTACAACTGAGTTGTTTAAATTAAAAGTATGGTTGTATGTTTGATCAGCCAAACCAAAGTCCATTAAACTTAACGGAAAACCTGCGGCAAGATTTAAAATTGATGTTTACAGACCACCGCTGTCAAAGCTGATTGAACCAGGGCCTTGTATTCCTGCAAAAATTGGGTCTACACAGTATTAAACCACCAGGACAATCACAAATGCACATCTTGCAAAGAGATATATTAAGGGTATAGTGGAGGATGTTTTTTTTCCGAGTGGATCATCAAAATAAGTGGTCATTCTAATTGTCAATCATTATGGTGATATGTTTACGTAAGGCCGTCCTACATTCTTTTTCCCATTTTCACTTACCGGTGGTGAGTCTGACATAGTGGAAAAATTGCAAATCCTCTTTGGAAAGTAAGCTTGTATGAGCGATTCAAACAGCAACTTTTAAAAAGAGTGTGCACGAGGAGAAAGGGACTCCTGCATTCTCTCGCACACGTTTAATAGGTGTTTCCTCTCGGGAGCAGGTACAGGGTTGTGCCTGTGTGTTTTTTTTTTTAAGTGAAGAGGACGGATCTTTTAAAAAATTCATGAAAATCCTCCACTATAGCTTTAAGACAGGCAAGTCAATGGATTAAGACAAACTTCTGGCTCAAAGGTTTACAATTAGATCAGATCGTAAGTGTTAAAGTTATGTTGTCAAAAGAAAAGTCTTACTACTCAAGTGCATGTTTCCCCAAACAGTATCTGTAAATCTTACTTCCTTTGCTGAAATGCAAATACACATAAAGAGGAATTATTCAGAATCCACTGCAATATGTTTTTGCTCCATTTGAATCAGACTGACCACCCCACACCTCCTCCTCTTTCCCAAGCCGGTATGAATATAACTGTAAAATCCTGTCCCCTGCATTTGACTTGCTAATTTCTTCTCTCCTGCCAAAAAAAATCACCTCTGAAAACAAAAGGGGGATAATTATATCCTGCTGCTTGGCTTAGTTAGAGATTAAGGACCCCAGTACCAGAGCAGGCTACACTGACCTCCGTACAAGCCTGTGTGCCTGCAGGTGGGAAACAGCGACAAGGACATCCAGTGTGATGTAACTCGGCTTTCATGAGAATAACCTTGTCAGAATACTTTTATATCTGAAAGCAATATGTAGTTGTTTAGATAAAAGTTTTTGTTGTTGATACTTAGGGGAATGTTATAATTAAATTAATAAAGTCAAATAAAATCAAAATTTGAAATATAGATACAGCAGGATTGTCTATTTGGGAAATTTTTCTTCAAAATATCTAGGGACCCATTTATCTTACCTAAAGGTTAACTATGTTTTAGTGGTTTTGTTTTTATTATAGTGGCTTTATTTGCCAAGTAAGTAGGCAATGCTGGATAAGCGGTTCTCTCAATTTACATCCCATACAAACATGTCATGTGTTGATGTCGTTATAAAAGCCCGCATATCAATACAGGCACGCAAAGTGCTAACAGTGTCCCAGAGGGGGTTATTCTGCCATTACAACTAATGGCACACACGACATGTTTGTATGGCATGTTATTAGATTTAAAATTGAGAGAACTGCTTATCCATAGGAGGCTACATCCTATCTGAAGCCAGCTACTGATATGATTAATGATAGGCCAGCACTGGTAACTGAGCGGCTAGTGCAACTAAGTAGGAGAGTACTCGCCTGCATTAGCACTGGAGAAGCTGAAGATGGTCATCTGCTATAAAAAACATGCAAAGCTGAAGTTTAGGATTGCAGCTTTCGATTCAAGAAATAAGCCTATTTAACCAGTGTTTTCTCCAATTTAGGCATTTTTACTCTGCTGAGTTTAAAAAATGCAATTTTTAGACTCTTCAAATTTGGTTTACATTATTGTAGACTAAATGGAATTTATTTTAAACCCATTGTAAACAAAGCATTCTAAAATGTTATATTGGAAGAGTGGAAAAATCGTAATCATATGTTTGTAGAGGATTCTGTTGAGGGCATTCTTGGTAGTTTTTTTTAAGGCTTTTATTTATATCAGTTTTGATATTTATCCACTAAAAGAGATACATTGAGATATAGGTTTTGGCTATATTGCAGAGCCTGACATGTCAAAGTGTCACTATGTCTTACTGGACATCCTCCTTGTTAATTAGTCTTCTTATCCCAGCCTTCCTGCTTACCTTCTGCCTCTGCTGCTCCTCGTTAAACCCAGGTTATTCCACTTTTTTCCAATATCATTCTCACTTGGTTCATTATATAAATTCATTGTTGGCCATTGCTCTCTGCAGGATCCTCCTGTTAAATTCCTGTTTTTCTGAATACATTTATTTTTCTTTTGTTTCCCTGGAAGCTTGTATCATATTTTATTTCATTAATATCTCTATTTTCATCCATCATTTATTTCTGCACTTAGGTCCTCACCCACAACCACAAAACATTTTACTGGCATCTCTTAATCACCTAATTGTTCTTTCTTCATTGCAGGACTATTTGTTATGGAATCGCCTTGGCGCTACTCTAGCAAATGGGGATCGTAGTGAAGAGGCAGTGGAGGCATACACTCGAGCCCTCGAGCTACATCCAGGGTTTATCAGGTCCCGCTATAATCTGGGCATCAGCTGCATTAACCTTGGGGCTCACAGGTGAGTGACCATAGACTTTATAATAGACTGTCAAATGTATCCTGGTTTGTTGTAACATTAACAAGAAGCAATGCATAAAAAGATACACTGCTAAATACTAAATACTACTCAGATAACACATCATAGATCTGAATGAATGAAATATTTTCATTGAATGCTTTGTTCTGTACAAAGTTCAATGCGACTGCAAAATCATCAAAAAAACAACGGAAATCATATCTATTAACCAGTGAAGCAGTGGTGGCTGGTGGAGTTTTCTCCATGGGGCTATAAATTCCAAATAGACGTATACCAAAAACCAGTCAAACGTATACTAAGTTATCACACCAGTATATTTATATGGATGCCAACAACAAAAAAAAACATTATAAAAAAATATATATAATTTCATGAACAGCTTTACATTTTGTACATATATTTTGCCCTCCTGATGTTTTGTGAAGGCAAATCTGTGTTATGCATGGTCCAATATGATGTCACAAACCTAAAAAAATAATGTGCCACTTTAATAATGGAGAATCTATTAGTCAGCTTTATATTTTTTTTAATATATAAAAAACTATTTTCTGACAATGTGTTTATTTATGAGCAACTATGCAAATTACCAAAAACCTAAAAAAAGTGCACTATATTATATTATTTTCCACATGAATCCCAGATTGTTTATTCTTCTTTTCCTTTTTTAAAAAGTGCTTTAAATCAATCCGACCTGTCTTTATCCATGCTGGGTCAGATCCTGACGTTTGAAAAAGGAGGCAGGGAAAGCAGAATAAAGCTACATGCTGCTAGCCAAACCTTCTTGCTAAACCAGGTCCACGAAAAGGATGTTTCTTGCACCATTTCTCTTTCTTGCTCTGTTCGAATTCATGGGATTAGCCCTCCGAATATCAGATTTGAAGGATGATTACATCATTACATCAGCCAGCTTGCTTGGCCTCGCCATGAATCCTGGGATATCCAAGGATACAGAGGATGCAACGGACCAGACCTTTAAATCGGGCAAAAAGAAGGAAGCATTTTAAGGCCGCATAATGAAGAGCCTTGGGATCCGAACAGACCTTGGCGCCGCGCTATGACGTAATCGTCCTTCGAATCTGGCCTTCTGAGGACGCAGCCCATGAATTCGACAAGGGCCATGGACTAAAGCATCTCCCAACTCCTGGACAGTCTTTGGTGCAACATGACATTGGTGGATGGATTGAGACATGATGTCTTAGATCTCCTCAATCTGATTTAGGTCTGGGGAATTGATGGGCCAGTCCATAGCTTCAATGCCTTCATCTTGCAGTAACACAAGGTGTCTGAGGATCTAATTTTGGTACCTAATGGCAGTCATGCTACCTCTGGCGAGCACATGGATGGCTGTGTGGCCCTCCAAAGAAATGCCACCCCACACTAATACTCACCCACTGCCAAACCAATCATGCTGAAGGATGTCGAAGGCAGCAGATCACTCTCCACTGTATCTCCAGACTGTGTGAACCTGCTTTCATCTGGGAAGAGCACAGGGCATAAGAGGTGAATTTGCCAATTCTAGTGTTCTCTGGCATATGCCAAGTGTCCTGCACGGTCTTGGGCTGAGAGAACTGTGGATGTTGGGCCATCATAGCAACCTCATGGAGTCAGTTTCAGGACTCATGTGGTTTGCAGGACTAATACAGGGCTCATCGTGTTCCTCCTTGCTCAAAGGTGGTGGTAGTGGTCCTACTGCTGGGTTTTTGCGCTCTTACAGCCTCCTCCACATCTCCTGGTGTACTGGCCTGTCTCCTGGTAGCACCTCAAGCCTCTGGACACTTTGCTGACAGACACAGCAAACCTTCTTGCAATAGCTCCAATTGATATGCCATCCTAGACAGGGGCGCTGGAAGCTGTTTCAAGCGAGGGGGGCTGATGGCTGGGTTGGAAAACATGTGATGTCATTATGTTGAGGGCTGTAGCTGACGTTTTTAACATAATATTGTAGGCCTACATTTGTCGCCAAAAACTGCCATTTAAAATGCATCGGAACAAAGCATGAACATTTTAAACTTTATTTCTTCTCTTTTAATCATTCAAAACAAACAGCAGCTCCCAATCAACAGGATCAGGAATACTTGAATGAAACATGGCCTAAATATAGCCTAAACTGAGCATTGAACGTCTTGAAAGTCCATTCGACTATGGATATGGGGAATGATTTCATATCTGAAACAAAAACACACACACACACACACACACACACACAAAAAAACTAATTTCATATTTTATCATTAAATAGCTTAATAGAGACATAATATTTAGTGATATGCAGCCTTATTCTAGCGTAGACTTCTTCAGCCACAGGACTACGATGAATAGGCACAGCATATAGAAATAAATAAGAAATAAATAACGCTAAATAAATGCTCTGCGGCAGTATAGGGGAATTAAAACCATTTCTTACCTCGAAATAGTCAGAAATACGTATCTGCTGCCTATTGCTAGCCATGCCTAAACGAATGTGAGGTGGCGGAAGCACTTCCGGGGGAGTAGCCTAGTTTTTTATGAAATATTAAAATAATGAATCATTAGTTTATATCTTATACACAGCCCATCATTATAATCCCATATCAAACACCGTCTCTTAAAAAATTAATACATAAATAATTTCATGTTTTTAAGTACAATATTATGTTACTCCACAGCCCCCCACCATGGGGGGCTGATACTATGACGAGGGAGGCTGCAGCCCCCGCAGCACCCCCCTTCCCGTGCCACTGATCCTAGATGAGCTGCACTACTTGAGCGAATTTTTGTGGGTTTTAGAATCCGTTTGAAGCTACCGTCAACATTATAAGTGACCAAAACCTCAGCCAGAAAGCATAGTTACTGATAAGTGGGCTGTGGTTCAACCTGCAGAGCCACTCCTTTATTGAATGTGTCTTGCTAATTGGCAATATTTTATACCTGTTGTCTTTTTCATTTGCACAGCATGTGACATTGATGGCCAATTAGTCCTGCTTCTTAAGTGGACAGTTTGTTTTTACAAAAATTTGATTTAAGTCATATTTTGTTCTTTATGTTACCCTTTATTTTTTAGCAGTGTATATTGTCAGAGCCTAAAACAGACTCCACTTTTCCTTGTTTCATGTCAATGAGTATTTCCAAAATGATCTTGTAAATGCGCAAATAATGAGAGAATATTTTAGATATTTATTTGATGATTTTTCTTTTTAACTCAAGTTTTCAAACATCTCCTTAGAAGGCTGATAGTAAATTGGTTTCTTAAATGCATGACTTGGGTCTCCATGAAATAGTTTGCTCTAGTTTTTACCCTATCCATATGACGGAAGTGAGAACCACTTAAAAAAAACAAAAACAAAAAAAAACGCTGATCTTGGTGTCCCTAAAGCCACGTTACAAACCTATACAAAAAAGATTAAAAAGATAACATTTCATCATAATAAAATCAGGAAAACATACCAAGTGCCCATTCTTGTTAGATTATCCTTTTTGAGCCTGACTGGAATTCTCACACTGGGTGTGATAAGCAAACATAGACAGACATGTGCACCATCTGCAGGCAGTACAGTGGAACTATCAAAAAAGTCCAATGGCAACAACAGATACATCAACCAACATTGTCTTTTCTTCAAATATCTTTTTGAGCTTTTTAACACTTGATTTTGGACTTTTTACCATTACTTCCTCAACTCCATTTAAAGGTACTAACTAGCTTAGTTCCATTATTCCCTTGTTTGTCCATTGAGCATATGCACAAAAAAAAGTGTTTAGAGGAAAAATGTATAATTTACAAACAGGAAAACTTTTCAGAAAAACTTTGTATGCAACCAGAGCAAAAAACGGGAAGAAATCTCCAGCAGAACCAGGCTCAGTGTGAGCAGCCACCTGCTGAGGCCCACGGAAGTTCAAGGAGACAGAAGCAGAAATACAAAAGGCAACTGTCAACCAGCTTCACAGGCAGACCCGTCCAGGAAACACACAGTCAGACAGATGAGCTCCGAGCCATTTCTCATGACGGAAGATGAAGAGAACATATACAGTTAGTCACAGGCAGAGAAATAGTACTACACTGATAAAACAGGCCAAGCTCCAACATTTATAAACAAAAGTGTAGAGGGCAGCAGCACAGCTGATTTTTCTTTCTAGAATGGAGTCACAGCCAAACAGGAACAGGCCAGATGGAGCTACTATGAGAAAAAGCCCAGAGAGCATAGCTTTTATGACAGAGAGAGCATTTCTGACAGGCTAAGGTAGAATGATTGTTAAAGCACAGTTACGTTTGAGGCAGCTGTTTAAGATGTGTATTATGTCCTTTAAGTAAGGTTGCCAAACATAAATTAAGTGAGATTTATAGTTAAAATTGAGATGGTTTTAAGTGATTCAGATGCTATAAACACTGAAACCAAAAGACATTAGGTCCACACAGAATTGCCACCAATGCATCATTAAACAGATCATTGGCTTTAGGATGATTAATTGCCTTATCTGCTGTTTTTGGAAATGTAATGAACCTCTCGGCAGAAGTGATAGAAATCAAACAGTCTGAAAGTAACTGAACAAAACAATTGTTGGATTATAGCAAAAAAATAACCAAGTGCTTATCTTTGTGAGAGGAAGCAGTGACCTTTAGCATTTTGAGAGCAATTTGTCTTCATAGTATGAGGCCACAAATAACACTCCGCAAAGGTTGAAAGCCTGTTTAAACCATTTATAACAATGTAAGAGCTGTTTTTTTTTTCTGTGAGACTATCACAGATGTGAGTTATACATTTTAACACATATCAATTCCTTCCCAGCATTACCAACAGCAAAAAATGGAAAATTTTATCAATTGGAGCTGAGCCACAGCACTAGAACTCAGACATACACTCACCGGCCACTTTATTAGGTACCCCATGCTAGTAATGGGTTGGACCCCCTTTTGCCTTCAGAACTGCCTGAATTCTTCGTGGCATAGATTCAACAAGGTGCTGGAAGCATTCATCAGGGAGTTTGGTCCATATTGACATGATGGCATC